TCTAGCACAGTCACACACCATCCTGTTTTTCTGTGGTGACACAAAAGGTGAGGCCTGTCACATGAAACAGGAAGACACACCTAAATCCCCTCGAGTGCTGTGGGCCATAGAAAACAACAAAAATCTGCTGCATATTACCGGCAGAAGGAAAAACACATCACGGATACACAAAATCCCGTAACACTGAGCATTGAGGAGTTCATATAAATCCATTTGGCTTGTTCTCATCTCCCAAAAACAGCCTTACAAGAGCAAAGAACAGGAGTATTTAACCCAGTGAGTCAATACTTTGAAATGATATGTTTTTATCAGCTTGGGCCATCTAGATTTGGATTTCTTTTTTTGTTGTTGCTTACTTCCAGCTTTCCTCCTTTAGGGGTTAATGTTAGACATCTTTAGGTGTGTGTGTGTGTGTGTGTGTGTGTGTGTGTGTGTGTGTGTGTGTGTGTGTGTGTGATTTAAGGGTCTGCGTCTTAGTGTAAAAGAAAAATCTAATTACATCCAATATTGCTTCAGTGTTGTGAAACATGAAGAAGCCCAAGTAGGTTCTTCAAAAAACCAAAATATTTCAGTTCACAATGATATAACAAAAACGTTTTTCTGGGACTATAACTGTTTTAAACAACTGATGACAATTGTTGCCACCAAACTTACTAAGCTGCAGCTAATTGATTCCCTAAATTGGCCAAACTAGTACAAGAAACTCTAGACTGGTAAATAAGATTTCTGCATTATGTATGTTGGCCAAAAATGTTCTCATGTATTCAAACTGAAGACACACACTATGCTGGCAGGGCCGTATGGACTAGTCCAAAGGCCGTATACACATTGCAGCCACTTTGGCTCATATAGCTGCAGGTGCGAAGGAGCACTTGTAGCCCTCTGAGCTGACTACTTGAAGATGCTGTGAAGTTTAGTCCTCTATCCTCTGTCTTCAGGCTATTACATTTAGCCATTGTTACGTATTTAGGATAGAATAAGAATAAATCTGCAGTTTCCTCAGATGTCCACTGACTTAATGTGTCTTGAAGGATATTTGTTGAGATAAAGTACATGATCTCAGCTTTTTTTTGTTTTGTTATGCAAGTACAGACAGAAGCATGTGGGGGCTTGTATTGCTATGTCTCACCTTCCAGCCTAAACTGTATATCTTCAACGCTATGGCGAGCCCTAATCATAGTAAACAGAAATGTGGCAGGCACAGGCATGAGTCCACTAGCAGCTCAAACTAACAATCTCTGCTGGTAGAGAGCAAAACGTAGAATCAGCACACAGGGCTTTGCACAGTGGAAGAGTGGGTTAAGCTTTGTCCTTAAATCACACCATCAGACAATTCTATATCCCTCCTTTTTCATATATCTTCATATTTTAAACAATGTTTTTATGTTTTAATTTTTCATGATTTTCATTTAAATCTTGCATCAAATCCTCATTTCTCGTGTCAGTCTCCTCCTGACCGATTTTATTTCCCCTTCAGATGATACTGACTGTGTATCTCAGCGATGGGGAACAGGCTGCAACCGAGGTGCCCATCACCCCTGAGACAACGTGCCGAGATGTCGTTGAGTTCTGCAAAGAGCCCGGCGAGAGCGGCTGCCACCTGGCCGAGGTCTGGAGAGGCAACGGTAAGAGCTGGTTGATATTGGGCTGCTAGTTGACACTTCACAGTAGCCTTTAGTCTTTCTCATTTAATCTGCAAACAAGCACCAGGGTGGGGCCACGCATGACTACCTGAGTGGAGAAAAATCATGGAGAAGCCGTGGATAAGGCAAACGTTAAACGCTAAAGGAGAAGAAAGGGATGTATTAACTATGCACGTTTCCATCAGCTATTATCAGACTAGGTCAGAAAAGGGTTACGTGCTGCAACAGTCCACAGCACTGTCACAGCAGATTCCCCTCTGCCCAAACGATTTGCTCCCATCACCACAGTCGTGCTGACATACCCGGTGTTATCAGCATTCTTTTTCTGCGGGGCCACTCCCCTGTTGAACACAACATTCCAGCCGAGGGCTTTATTAACCCACGTTATGCAATCATGTTCGGCTGGTTCCTGACAATGCGGCTGTCTGCCCCCGAAACCTCCTAAAACCTCTCTGTCCGTGTCGTCGTCTCTTTGTGTCTCGGCCTCGCTTTGCTCACAGAGTGCCGTCCTCTTGAAATGCAACAAATCTTTTAGCGCACACAGTTGTCCGTCAGCTGTCCCAGTTTATCGTCACTTGATTTAAATCTGAAAGCCTCCATGGCCGTGTAAAATGGCTGAGATCACAAGTTTATCTGTTGTTCTCTGATATTCTTTTTTTGTTCCAGGGTAGGCTAAGTGAAAAAATATTACATTAGTTATCAAAAGATCACATAGAATATCCTAAATGTGTGTGATTTTGGTTAAAGAGAGAGTTCAGAGATATTGTAGTCTGGGGATTTTTACTGTCTTTCCCACTTGCCCAGAGTCAGATGCAGTAAATGCCTCAGGATGGACCTCTTTTTATGTATTTGATGTGTTGTATATCAAAACGGTATATCAAACAGCAGTATCAGGTTGTTTTGGCTCAATTGCTGAGTGTATCGGATCAAATGACACCATCATGTTCCTTTAGGCATATAGGACTTGAGTGAAATTTGCCAATTAAACTAAGCTTTGTCTGAGGGGATGTCCACAGTTTCAGACTTTGAAAACACCTGTTTTACTTAATTAGTTCATTTTTCTATTATTGTTGTCCGAACACCAAACATGCACATCTTCCCCCTCCACTCTTTGGGACAGTAGAGAACAGGAAGCCTTTTTTGAAAATGCAACCTTTGCCAACATTTTGGAAATAAGCTGTCAGTTAAATATACAGCCAAGAGACCGGTAGCTCAGATTAACACAGGAGCACTGGAACAGATGGCTGGGCCAATGTAACACCACACATTTTAACTTTTTACACACAATCTAGATAGTTAATTAGTGAGTTTTAGAGGGGCTGGTAAGTAGATTTTGTTACCTTTGTATAGAGCAAAGCTAGCGGCTGTGGTTTGTTAGTTTGTTTATATATATATATATTATTTCCTTTTAAATTACAGCATTTTAACTTTCAGTACTGGACATGTACTAGAAAACTGAATTAGGTCAGTTGTTTCCATGAGACAAATATGTTTACCTAGGGCTGGGCGATATGGCCAGTAATTTTATCACAAGAAAAAATGTCATATCATTTTATATCGATAATTATCACAATAAATATCAAATCATTATTTGTTTCAAGTTTAAAGGCTGATTTTTGCTCTCGAGTGAAAGTTGAACACACCAGACAGTTAATTGTGGTTTTAAACTACTATGCCAAACAGTGGATCACTTAAGAAATCTGTGATAGAACATTCAAAACTTTTTTCAACAAACATGCACGAGTAAAATTAAGTAGAATCTTTTTTCAGTTCCTTTTCCACAACAGAATTAATATCCTACTTGAAAAATTAAGTGCTAATTCGTTTGTGATTCAAATGAATTAAATCAAACATTTATTAAACATTTGTCATATTCTTATTGAGGAAAATTATAGTGCGATAATTATTATTTTATTTCCCAGCCCTAATCAGTCTTTTCCCCCATTTGCTTAACTTTCCCGTCTCTGTAGAGCGAGCGATACCCTTCGAACACATGATGTATGAACATCTGCAGAAATGGGGGCCTCGGAAACAAGAAGTCAAGTTCTTCCTCCGGCATGAAGATTCACCGAATGAGAGCAGCGATCAAGGTGAGTGTTGTCAGGGTCTATTGTGTCTGGAGGTTTTTCTGCTCTGGGCAGTCTCGACCTGAAGGAGGCAGGAAGCTGGAGTCTCGGTTGTCCTGGGAATTCCTGACACCTGATCTGGCTGACTGCTCAGCTGTGGGCGCTGGTGTCAGTCGATGTTTCTCCCTTTCCTATTGTCACTGGTGGTATTTCTTGTCTCTCTGGTTTAGGTTTGTTTGCTTTCTTGCTTTTGTTGTGTACATTTTACCTTTATCATCTCACACACCAAAGATGCTGCTGATGGACTCGTCTAAGCAGCTCTTCTATGAACTTTCTTAAGTTTGGTTAAAACTAAAGCATGTGTGGTTTTTGTTTTTTCGTTGAACCAGGTTGTAACACCATGCATACTTTGAATACAGTTTTTATGTGATATCCTTTTATATAAATAGTTTAAAAGCCTGTGGAGGATGAAAAACCAAGGTTTAATTTATGGGGCAAGTCAAACGGAATAAATCCATGCTCAGTTTTCACACACACAGACATACACTGCATTAACATGAATCTTTTTGTGTTTGGGGGTGTTTTCCTATTTTAGCAGCAAAGGTACTTCTTTTTTAGAAGTGAAGTAGAAGTAGACAGTTTTCTATCTTTCCCTGTGAATCTTTAAATCATTTACTCACCAGTAGGGATGAAACGATTACCGGTTTAATGGTAAAATTCCCGAAGGTTATTATTACACATTTTAATTACCATGATAACCAGGTACGGTTAACCTGTTTAATTTTTTATGCAAACAAAATGGCAATTTTATTTGTAGTTTTCAATATAAAACTTGTTGAAATGGTTTCAGTGTGTGTATCAGTACATTTTAATATTTTTTGGCACATTTTTACAATACCGTGATAATACTGATAACCATGATAATTTTGGTCACTAGAATTGTGATATGAAATTTTCATACCGTTTCATCTCTACTCACCAGCCTTTCTTATAAAAAAGTTAGGCGACTTTAGTCAGCAGTGCTTGTCCCAGTTCTTAAATCCCTCTGTCATGTGCAATCATGTGAATTTTCAAATCATTCCTGACAATGGTTGTAGCCATCTGAATCTGCACTTGTGTCCATGTGTGCGTGTGTACGTGCGTACACTCGTCTGTGCACGCCTGTGTATCTCTGCCCTGCCTGCGTTTGTGATGGTGACTGTTTCTTTTTGCAGGGAGTCAGCAGTCTCAGGATCAGACGAGTCGCAGAAGTGGAAACACTGGAGAGAAGCACAATGAGAATGGGGTGAGACTTAATTACCATTATCTAAATGATACTAAACAAAAATGTACTTATAATAATAAAAAATTACTGGAATTTGGTGCCTTCTTTCGTGAATAGATTAGGGTTATAATGAACGTTATTTCAATTAAAATAAAGAAAAAGACAAACCAGACGCATAGGCCATTATGAAATACCTGAATTATATGTAGAATAAAAACCTACAGAGAGCGCAGTTACGCGGGGTTATATAAAGAGCGAGAATCGATATAAATAACAAAACTAGCATAAAATTGACAGGGGAAATGATCTTCCCCAATCTCATTTTCTCTTGAACATATGTGAGTACCCACCATTTCACTTGAAAAACTGGAAGCTAGCAAGCTACAGCTAACTAACTTTCACTTGGAGAGTGGAAGCTCCTCCCTGAAAGTGGAAGCTTGTAGTTAGACTAGCTTGTCAACATAAGCACTGATTTATATAAGACATTACCTTTTGTTCATGTTATTTTTACAGCTGCTGGGTGCCATTGTCCTGCATGTTGTGTTGTATTCATTGGCTAGCTAGCATTATGCCTCTCTTTCATGTTTACTTGTGATGGATGGAAAATGGCAGGACTGTCAAATCTCACACCAATAGGTTGTCTTGTCACCTCTGCACACAGTTTCCTTTAAAATCTTAGTGGCTTTCTAACACCAACAATTCAGAGTGGGCTCTTTTCTTCTGAACTCTTTGTTAATGAAAGACTGCAAAACAAATATTACCGAGGGTAATTTCGGGATGAAATTCAGGATACTGTCAAGTTGTATGTTTACAGTGTGGCAGCATTTTTCAGCACAATAATGACATAACTCCAGTGTTTGGTTTGAGATGAAAGTATCAGTATCTGTGGCTTCACATTGATACTGTTATTAAACTGGTGATTGAGGGTAACATCACTGGGCCCGGTACATTGCCAGTATTTGCCTGACAGGTGAACCCTTTGTTGTGCATCTTGAGCTCTAGCTTCAGGAAGTGTGTGCTAGGAGATGTGAATGACTCCGATAAGAGCAGCCTCTGGCATGGCATCCTTTCTCTCTCCGACCGTCTGTCCCAGATTTCACAATAGGAAAGTGTTGCGGTCAAGGAATCGTAACAAATTCAACCTTAAGGGTGGAGGGAAGAATCCAGCTCAGCAGGAGATGGAGGGGTTGTGGTTTTTAGTTTTCAAAAAAGATTATAGCACAAGAGCAGCCAGAAGCTATTCCTTTTATTCTCCTGAAAAATCCCCAACTTTTGACTGTTTGTGTCTAGGAAGCATCACCAGGTAATATATATATTTTTATAGATACAGAAGTTAGCTGTTGATCGACTCTCCAAGCGACAGTCTGTGCCAGTATCATGCTACTAACCTATAAAACCCCCATAACAGCTATACTGTGTACTATATATAAGTAAAAACATCTATTGTATCATCACTTTGGTATCACTTGAAGAGGAAAACATTATCAGCTGCATGGCCGGCTCTGCTTAACCTCCCAAATGCGGAGGCTCATTTGTGTCCGAGTTTCTTCCTAATATCTGATTTGGAGGATTATATCAGTCAGCCTGCTGGATGATGTAACGGGCCCTAAGAGGATCATTGCTTTGGCTTTTCTACAGGCCGCTGCCCAAACCCCAGAGGCTTTCTCTCCTCAAGCAGAGTCGATGACCCTTGTAAAAAGCAAAGGTGCCTCAAGGGAACACACACATTCTCTCTTTTTTATCATAATTTTAGCTTCTGTAATTGGCAGTGACAACTTATTGGCAGTATTAAAACATCTCATTTGCAAATATCTTAAATTTGATTAGTCAATCAACAACAAAACTAAAATAATCTGCAGCCGTTTTGATGATTATCTGTGAAGGTTCTGAGTCATCCAGGTCATAGTTATCCAACAAGGTTTAAATCAAGGGCAGCTGGACTTGAAGATACTAGATGTTCTAGTATCTTCAGGTCCCTTGATTGTTGCCCTTTATTTGAACCTTTTGTTGGATACGTTTTGATTGATTGATTGATTAATCGGTTTTACAAGCAACAATACCAAACATTATGTGGTCTATATGTCAGATAAAAGTGGAAGATGCTGATCACCTTAAACCCAAGATGACATGTTTAAAACAATCCAAACCCCAAACACATTTAGTTTACTATCTGAGAATGTTTTTGACAAGATTAATCTAATAGGAAAATGTTTGCTCCTCTGAACATTATTTCATCAGTAATAGTCATGAATAACTGAGTTCTGATAGACCCTAATGATCATTTTAATAATAAATAATCATTTTAGATGTAATCATGGCTCGCTCTTTATTTCAGACATGTAAAAGTCTGTACAGGTGTTGAAGGGAGTAATGAAGTCTCCCTGTAGGACAGCATCCCTCATCAGTGAGGCGGTGGCTGCTCTGCTCCTGGTCTGCTCAGTCGGTAGTTTCTCCCTCTTCGTCACTGTCTGAGGGGCTGAGTGTGTGTCTCCCTTGGGTGAATTGTCATGACGCAGTGTTGCCTGAGTGCATTTGAGCGCGTCTGTATGTGTGTGCCAGTGGCTTCTCCCGCTTTTACCATCTCAACCTCGGTTGAGTCACCCCCCCCCCCCCCCCCCTTCTCACGCAGTCTTATATCTAAACGCCTTAACAAATGCGCAGGTGAGACAATGCTGTCCGAGCCACACGTGCAGGCAAAGCTGCAGCTGCAGTGTCCGTGTATGCTATTGTTGCCTCACTTCACCTTACCATGAAAGTCAAATTATTCCCCAAGACAAGTTATTTTATTCCAACAAGATGAGTCACAATAATGTCTGCCTCTTTGAATCAAGCATAGAATATTTTTGTTTTGCATGTCATGTTTATTTCACCTGGACTTTATCTTCTCCAGCTTTTACGTGCATGTGTAGGATCATATCAAGCAAACTGTAAAGCACACACTTATAATATATACACTTCATCTAATATATTTCTATTTTTCACATTTTCTATGCCTCTTACTAATCTCTTCACGTACTCTACATTTCCCAGTCTGTTATTGGGTGGAGAAAAAAAAAAGCTGACATTTCCTCCATCTTCTCCTCTCTCCTCCCTCTTTTGAACGAATTTTCTAAAGGCATAGTCTAGGAGCTCTTTCAGCGCCGCTTGTAGTTCGGAGGACTGTGTTCACGGCTCACTCAGTATGCTGTTTTATTAAGTCCTCTGTCAGTTTGTTGACTGCAGCAACTGCTTTGAGGAAATTCTGTAGAGTCATAGTTTGGTGGAAAAACAGAATTGAATGTGTTAGCCAGTCTTCTTTTATTGTGTGAGCTCTCAAAGAACACGAGTGCTGATTTCTGGATCAAGAGGAGGACCTTGTTGAAGATGTTTATGGAGGTGAACCAATTTTCTATTTACTGTTACTTCACACTTGGTCTACGTTGTATAAACCCCACCCTTCCTCATTCATACTTTTGGTTTTGTAGAGTTTGTTTCGTGCTGCAGTTACAGCTCAAATGATTTGTTGAAAAGCAGAAAAGAAGAAAATGGCAAATTTTTTTTGATAAGTCTTTTTGCCAGGTGAAAATGGAAAACATCCCCTTGTATGTATGTGTATGTATGATTGTTAGGATTTGCTTTCTCTTTCATGTTAGTAAATTGAATCTCTTTAAAGGGGACTTGCACATAAAGTCCGTATACAGGTGTTGGAGAGTACTACTACACATGTGACAAAAAGTAGCATTAAGCCTTTTGTGGCTGATAAGTCTGATAAATGTCCTCAACTCTGCTTGTGGCTTGAAGCTACATCAGCTATGTTAGCGACTACTGCCCTGACTGAACTGTCGGCTGTCGAGTTGCATTGTGGGTAATGTAGGCGTCAGGTTTTGCCAAGAAAGGAGGATGTGAGGTGTAATAAAGAAGACATCTCTATTTTCACTGCATCGGTTTTGATCTTTATTTTATTTTTTTTAAACTGTCCATTGTGTAATAGGTGTGCAGTGCTAAATCAGTGGAGTGCAGATTAATCGATTATGAATCATTAGTCAAGGCCACAATTATTTAATGTGAATTTGACCTAACAAAACCATGAAATAGATTGGTGAAGCTACTAATAATAGTGATAATATAATAATAATAAAATTTCTTTTTTTTTTTTTGTAACACCAAATGACACATTGCCTGCGGAGCCTTGAGTCCACTCCTCACTACCTGAGTATCGTCACAGGTAATGTCCCCTCATAATGATTTTTGGAGCCTTGTTGTGGAGCAAGAAGCGCAAGACTGTCACTGCTGTTAAGTCTCCTGCTGTTTCACCCTCTGGGTGCTGAAGCCAGACATCTTTTTTAAAATCATTTTTCTGCAAATGGCTTTTTGCGTAACTTGTTTCTTTGTTTTTGTGTTTTTATTCTTATGTAATGTTTTTTTTAGCTTATGTAACTTTTTATGCCATATGTCATTTTCTGCACTTGTTGACTTGCATATTCGTCTTACAAAGCGTTATTCTATCAAACATTTACCTGCGTATTGGTAACGTACATGACATGAAGATGCAGAGTGATGCATAAAACTGCACGGGCTCTCTAAGTTGAGTATCTCAGGCTAACATTTAGTTGTTTTAGGTAGGACAAAAAAATAAATGTTGGGTTATACCCTGGTTTGAATAAACAGCTTTTAGTACGTGGAAGATAGCAGTAAGATAACAGTTTTGGGCTTATTGCCCAACATTTTTATTTAAATGTTTAAAAGAAGAGAAGGGCCCAGCACCAACAAGCATACCTTTACTGTGTGAAATGTTTAGAGATCCTTATGTATCATCAGTCCGAATCTACATCAGTGGCTCTTATAACATTTCAATGGGAGTCTACAGCTACATATCTGCTCAGATTTTAGTGTGTTGACCAGTTCTAGTTTGTAGGTGGGGAATCAGCGCGTGGAGCTCACACTGTCGGAGCTGCAGGAGATGGCGACACGGCAGCAGCAGCAAATTGAGGCTCAGCAGCAGATGCTCGTTGCAAAGGTAGCATCTTGTCTTCATTCTTTTCTTCTTACTATGAATCTTTCCCCTGAATAATATGACGGTCTTTCATTCAAAATGTGCTTCTTGCTTACAAAATAGCACACTGCAGTAACTTGAATTTGAACTGTTCTAGGTTAGCGCTGGGGAACATCAGAAGATTTAACAGGTCCTCTGCCACAAGCTGCAATGTTTTTTCCAGTTTAAATGGTTAAATCTGAAGCAGTTTGTTACCGCAAAGTTATGTTGTAATTTGGTCAGTAAACTGGCCGTTCCTAAAACCTAAATGTTACGTTGTTTTGCTGGGAACAGACCATAGAAAATTTTGCCTTTTGAGGAGGTCACTGTGCCAGACAAGGCAATCAGAGTCAAAAGGTTTTTGCAGTTACTTAGCCGAGAGACATGGCAGACTATACGCTGAATTGGCATTAGTTCAAGGCCTCAACAGACCAAGTAAGTTCAGGACACAGCCTTGAATCCTCTTTCTGGTGGAGAGAGAATTTATTTTCATCCAGAGTCCCATCGTGACGTGAAACGGGGGCAAACAGTTATGTAACAAATGAGATGGGAGGCAGTGTGAGTCAGAGTGCAAGTATTGTCCAGTCTGTCAGAATTCATAGTTCAGTCTTTAAAGGAACATATGCAGACACTGCAGCGTTTACTCAAGCATGTAAATTATTCATGACTTTCAACACTAAAGACAGTACCTTTCCCAGACCAATCAGCTTTACAGTGCTTATTAAAAGTAGATTTCATCTTGTAATAGAAGGAAATAGAGTTTGGTGGCAAACCTCCACACAACCAGTCTATCTTGTCATTCTCGGTGGCTTTTCAGCACGCTAACGAAGTCTGACCACCGTGCTTGTGGTGCGCTGATCAGTCATGCAGGATGAAGCCCACTGTAGACCCGCAGATAGAAAGACTGTTTATTGCCTTTATTGTGGTGTCTGAAAAGTAGGCCTACTTGAAGCCCTGCAGTCATTTGGAAACCTGGGCCTGTCATTTCCTATTTTAGGACCTAACTGGAGCAGTTCTCAGTTGGATAGAAAGATGAAGTCATCTGACCCTTTCTTCAGTCTTCGGACAGTCTTGACACTGCACAGTATTTCATTTAGTGCATACAGTAGAAAGATTTAGCCTAGTTTTAGGGTAAGTCTGCCACAGAGATATCTTGTAAGCCTTGGGGTGGTGCCTGACTTCCTGGTTTTCTATTCAAGCATGTGTCATTATTTTTGCAGATAAAATAACTTTTTGCTGTTTAGTATCTCTTTCCGAACTTGCGAAAGCAGGTGGCTTTGAGATGGTCTGCGCTGTTGGATGCAGTTTGACAACATTTGGTAGCTAGTTTGCCTATAGAATGCCAATCTCTGTCTCGTTCTCTGAAGGAGCAACGTTTGCGTTACCTGAAGCAGCAGGAGCGGCGTCAGCAGCAGACCGTTTCGGAGAGCGAGAAGCTACAGAGGCTGAAGGAGCGCGTAGATAGCCAGGAGGCAAAGCTCAAGAAGATTCGGGCGATGAGAGGCCAGGTAGACTACAGCAAGGTCATCAATGGCAACCTGTGTATGTATACCCTCAATATGTACATAATTGAATTATACTGTGTGTGTGTGTGTGTGTGTGTGTGTGTGTGTATATATTATATTTTTTATTTGTGTATGTAGACAGATTACATTTTTCATGCAACATTTTGACCAAGGTTGTGCTCATTACTATAAAGATTGCAGTAGTTTGCTAATTTTAAAATAGATTACGAATGACCTGATGTGATTTCTTCATTTGTCACATCCAGCGGCAGAGATTGAGCAAGTTAGCGGCCTGTTCCAAGAGAAGCAGGCGGAGCTCCAGTCTGCAGTGCTGAGGGTGGAGCAGCTCAGCCTGCAGCTGGAGGACCTGCGGAGGGGAAAGCTAAACGGCATACAGACCACCCTCAGCGGCCAAGTAACCGGTGCTGCAGCCCTTGAGCTCCGTAAACTCTACCAAGAGCTTCAGGTACCGCCTAGAAGAAATAAGCGCAACATCTAGTGAATGCTTTTATAGTTTCCACTGTTTTTGCTTTGCCCCTGGCTGATCCCTTACCCTGATGGCATTATCTATTGTTCTACTGAATCTGAACATGTGTTTGCGTCTGCATTCATCATCCACAGATCCGGAACAAGTTGAACCAGGATCAAAACAGCAAGCTGCAGCAACAGAAGGAGCTTCTTAACAAACGCAACATGGAAGTGACGCTCATGGACAAGCGCATCAGCGAACTGCGGGAACGCCTCTACAAGAAAAAAGCTGAGGCACGTCAAAAAGAGAACCTTCCTGTAAGACTAAGACCGCCTAACACACCTCCTCATTAAGACTCTTTTTGTTGCAATACTTCTGACAAATGTCCCTTGTCTCAGTGAGACGGCACTCCAGACACGGCAAATGTTCAATATAAAGTGAAATACAAAATTATTATTATTTTATCTTTTCATGTCTTAGGGGAAACTTGTGGACAATTTTTTTTTGCTCATGTCTCCTTATGGGCTCCATAATGCACATCTCTCTACATGCTGATTGTTTTCCCTGATATTTGAAACATTTTCTGACTTTCTCCTCTTACAGCTGAACAGAGCCAACGGGCCTCCCTCTCCCCAGCCCGCTCCTGGTACTCTGGGCCGTGTTGCTGCTGTTGGGCCGTACATCCAAGTCCCTGTATCGGGCCGGCAGGAAGGAGGCTACACCATGCCTCCTGATCCACTGAAGCCTCAGACTCTGGGCGTTAATAACCAAGCCAACCATGGCCGCAACAAGTCAGGTTGGTTGAAACCCATAAAATTGCATTTTCATTGTGTATTTTTCACCCAAAATTCAAGTCACTGTAGTGAAAGTGAAGCACAACTGTAGTAGTGGATACCATGTGATGCAAGTTTTAATTGAAAATGTGAGTGAAATTCTTGTTCTTTTCCTCATTAAGAAAACAGGACAGTTAGAAAAAAAGCAGATGAGAAGGTAGTTCCTGGATTCAGTTACATAGCAGCTTGGATACATGTACTCCCAGAGGCAGAAGTCTTACACCACTACACATCTTGCATGAAAAGTGTGTGACTGAAATTCCCTCCTGGGCCCACACTGTTTCTCTGTTTCCTTCCTACCTGACTCGTCAGTTAATTCTCCACCTGGACTTGATTTCTGTGATTTTTTTCCCCTTCTTCTCTAACCTCCTTCTCTTCCTGTGTTGTGCGTGTACTGTGATTCCCTTCCTTTTCTCTCCTCCTCTCTCATGTGTCTATTTTGTCCTGTCTTTGTAATGTCTCTGTTTCACTGGGCGTGGGGGTGGGGGCAACTCTTCCTGGGGCAGACGGTGTGCGAAAGCCTCCCGGCCCTTGGAAGGTGTCTGATTTAGACATCGTTGTGGACCCGGTTCCCCCGTCCCTTCCAGAATCACACCCGGGCACCGGAGCCTCCACTGGCTCTGACGGCACGTCCCGTGAGTGCACAGTGCTGCGTAAGCAGAGGGATGGCACTTCCTGAACCTTCTCTCTCAATTGTAGCACAGGATCCTCAGCATGCGCTCAAGTTTTTACTCATGACAACATTCTTATCTTCATATTCAGTTTAATTGGCCAGGAATTTATGATGACCAAATTGTGTTCTGCCTCAAGCCCCTTACACTCTAGTCAACTGATGTTTTTATGCTCCACAAAACAGATTCTCTACTATTCTTCACTATTTAAAAATAGTGGGGCTGATTTTCCCCACCAGGCAAATTAAAACCTAGATGCGTAGCTGGGAAATCTGAGGAGGAGATGAGCATCTGTGCCTGGGTAACTTGAACAATCGCTGACTGATGGAAGCATCCTTGTTTGGCATCATTACGCTCTCCTGCCAGTGCAGCATTGAGCCAGTGTTTCTGAGCTGTAGAGGACGTGTTGACATTTCATTTGGAGTGTTTCCTCTGTGGATTGCCTAATGACGTCAAAGTAGCGGGGTGCCATCTTGAAACACTTTGCTGCCAACTGCAGAAAGTCTACGCTCTCTAATCATAGTTGACACCATTCCTCATGTGAGGAAAGTGTCAGTGATAAAGCACTGCTGATCCTGTGTGTGTTTGTACACCTCTGAGAAGGTTCAATGATTCAAGTGCCCCATAAATTTACACATGCAAAAGCAGTCCAACATGTTTGGGCTTTGGTCTAATTCCATAACATTCCTATCCTGCCTAACCTTAACCATCACACCACACTCACTTTTAGACACTTAACATGCACAAGGAAATGTACTTGTACATGTTAAGTCATTGGATTCACTTAGCAACTGACACTCCTGTAATCTGTGAAGACACAGGTCAAGCTGTTTCCTTTTAGATTTACTTAGTGTTGGTAAAACTGTTTTATTAGTACTCTGCTATATTTAAAGAAATTTTTTTTTTTTACAGATTTCCCAATTAACCAAACTAATAGGCCTACTGTATGTTTGTTGACTATTTATAGTTAACATAGGTGACATATTGGAAATATGCTATAATTGGCCTTTTCTGCTCTGTCTGTTGCAGCTCTGCAGCTTTATTTATTTTCAGATTATACAAACAAATTCATGTGTAATGGTACCACAACTATTGCTGTTGTTTTGTTGTGTGTTCCTTTTTCCATCCTCTTCCTTTTCACCCTATCCTTACTGTCTAAAATTGCATTTTGTTAACCTGCACATATGTATTTTTTTTGAAGTAATTAGTTTAGTCTTGGAGGCAAACAGTACTGACTTTAGTGGCAGTACTAAAGCTGCGTTCACACCGAAAGCGAATTTCATATTCGCCTCGCTTTACTCGCACGAGTTTGACAGCTGGACATTTTGAGTGTTCTCACACAACGCGTTTTAAGCGAATAAATACAGCCTGTGGATACTACTGCTATATGAACCCAAAGTAAACCTTTTGCTGTGATTTAATTGCAATAAACGGATCAAACTGATGCCGAAATAACTACAATATAATGCAGTTTTGTTAGACATATGAATTCATGCTTTGTCAGGTCTGTCAGCAAGTCAGCAGGACAACAACTTTTAAAATGTTTGTATTCTGAAAGGAGTTCAGATCGATCAGGACTATGCTATGCTAACCTGTTCATACTAAAGTACAATGATAGCTGAAATAAAGTTACAGACACATTTTCTGAACTCACCAGGTAGTTCAACTTCCTCGCTTTCTTTTTCCAAGTAATGACCAGCTTTGTCCAGTTTTTATATAAAAATTAAGTAGTAGTCCAGCAGAACTCTGGTGGCATCCGACGCTAACAACAACAGTGGAACCGGATGTGCACGGCAGCTGAAGATAAATCAAGTTGTAATTCCAAAAACTAAAGTAAAAAGCTAATTTAACAAAAGCAGTTAACTCTGAGCTCCTCCCGCGGGTAAACGGCGTAGTTGTCAGAGCAGAATCCAGACAGAAAACGGGTGTTTATTTTTCCGAAAGCTGTAGCGCTACTCCCCGTACACTTCCCCGTTCTTTAGCAGCTCCTCTTCGGCCTGCGGATTGTCATTACAACACTCGGCAGGTCCTCTCCAAATAATACGCTCTGAAGCCGCCGGTGACGTTTGGACAGTCTCACCGCTGATAGGCTTTCGCAACATCGCATCAAGCGAATTTTTCGCCCAAGTTGAAAAATTTGAACTCGCGTGAAACGGCGAATGTCGCGACAAACGCCTCATTTGCGCCGCCTGGAGCAAATTCGCGTCTTTGCATTGACTTTGTATGTAATCAAGCCGCCCAAAACGCTGGATTCGCTTTCGGTGTGTATGCACCTTTAGTCAGCATCCCTTTATCTTCTACTATATTGCAAGTTTGTTAGTATTTACTAAATGTATCTGAATTAAAGCACTACATGACTAAATACATGCACACTGTAGCAAAGTACTAATGCAGATATATTCATTGCCATCATTACTGTGAAGCAAAGGCTCAGGATTTTTGTCCTATTGATCAACAGCCCCTCTTAAAACATTTGGTTGTTGTTGTTTTTTATGGTGTTTTTGATAGATTTTACTTTAAGATGTAAGACGGACAACTTGCAAATCTTCTTGTGCAAGAAATAAAGAAATGTTGTGATGTGCCAGATGTGTGTAGCCACATCGATTTTTAACAGAAAATGGAAATTTTGAGAATTAAATAACTGACCATAAATAGTTAAAGTGTCTCCCGGAAAACCCAGCTAATATAAGAGACTATGCTGGGTGGGCCTCGGACACTCTCCGGGGCATGCACCCCCGGAAGAAAAATTTGTACATTTTAAAGTTAAATGCATTAATTTGGTACAGTATCTATGAAGAACTTTGTACGCTTGTGAACAATGTTGTGCTCTAATAAACTATTTGATCATAAACTTATTGTAGAGCTATAAATGGTGATGAAACAGCAACAAAAGTCAACAAACTTAATGTTTTTCCAAAAACTCTAAATCAAAGAATAGAAAATAGAAAGGAAATTCCCTTACATGATGTTGTTTTTTTTTACTTATAATGGACAGATACATGTATATGTATAATATGTTTTATACTTTCAGTGAATTTAATCCGATTAATTTTATTTCCATACTGTATAGATACCTTATTTTGAAAACCGGGCGTTCTCACATTTGTATCCTCGGGCTAAATTCATTAAGTCCGACCAGAGTCTGACCCAGTTTGATAATAATGTCAAAGTGTGCGAGCTTACAGTAGTGCGGAGCAGTGGCACAAAAAACAACTTTAGAGATCTGAAATGTAATTATGAGATGTGTAAAAAATATTTTCGGTTCATTTTGAAACTATGGCGGAGCAAATTACACTATGGCAGGGCGCCATGGTTTGTATATGGGAAAGGCCTCAGGTCAGTGTGTATTTAGGGTTTGAAGTAAATGGTACATGAAGCCATTTCTCTGAAAAACAATTTATTTTCTTCCGTGACCTCTGGTAATATACATAATAGAGAATTTGATTTTTAGAGAACTGGTTTGATTCTTCCATTATCTTTGCTTAGACATGTGAAAGATGCTGAATTCATATTAACAAAAAGGCAACAAGGAATCTGTTTGAATATCTCTTAATGGTGTCTGGTTAATAGGATAGGTTTCTCAAAATCCTGAACCCTCCATTTAATACCAATACTGGGTCAAAATGGTACTGATACATGTGTTCTGTGTGTATAAAGTCTTATACATACATTCTATTCCACATGATGTGGTTAATCGCGCATTAAGTGACACATTTCAAATAAAGAAATGAAAATGGTACCATTTAGACCTAGCTCTGGTGGACATGCTTCGTCACTACTCAGAGTTGTAAAAGAGGTTCATGTTTCTCATACCACCTCAGTCACCGGCTATGATCTTTTTTTTCTCTTTTGCAACACACTTAACTGTGTCTGTTTGTGCCCTAGCTAATGACACTGGTTGGCCTACTGTAGGCAAGACCAACACATCTCTAAAGCCTCCTGAGAGAAGAGACTCAGGGACCGATACCCAGGGCAAGAGCCCTCCCTCAGGCTCCCCTGTCACTCCAAGTGCAGAAAAGGTAGCTCTTCTAATTCCCTTTTAATCTGTGTTCATTGTTTTTGTAGCTGTAGATGTCACATCTGTAAAAAAAATAAATAAATAAAAAAGTTCTATGTTTGAGATTGTGCTAGAGATAAACTGTCATAGCATCTTGATTAATAATAACCTTAGGGCAAGAAATTGAGATTTAGTCACATTTCTCTCTACAAAAGTTGTGTTTTTAAAGGTTGGATGTTGCCGTGTTATTTTATGCCTCTACACAGGTGCTAGATTCCAAAATGGCTGTGTCCTCCCCTGCCATATCCAAGCCACAGCCGCCCCCCTATGGCTCCCATCTCACCTCCGCAAACTCTGCCAGCTCCTTGGAGCGCCGCAAGGACGCACCTCCTCCCCGTCCGCTACCAGCCCCGCCAGCTCCTGCTTGGCCCCGCGTACCCCCCTCCACAGGCTCGTCCTCACAGCAGATACAGCAGCGAATCTCAGTGCCGCCAAGCCCCACCTTTCAGCCTAATGCACCACTTTTCCCCCCTGGGCTGAGTGAGCGTCTGGATCCCCCACCAGCTGTGGCAGTGCGCCCCTTCATCCCAGACAGAGGATCGCGGCCTCAGTCGCCCCGAAAGGGCCCGCCTACCATGAACTCCAGCTCCATCTATCACATGTACCTCCAGCAGGCAGCGCCAAAGAGCCAGCCACTCAAGCCTGCTCTCAAAGCAGGTAAGACCTGGGTTTGAAGAGATTGTCAGAGAAAAATGCATTTTCATGATTGGGTAGTTTAATAGTTAAATATTGAATCATTTATTTTTATTATTTATGCTGTATATTGTCGTGTCTCTTTCAGTGTTGCTGCAACTTAAAAGATCCAGTTATGTCTTCTTGGATAAAAATTAATGGTATAGGAACCAGTCACTTCATCTTTTAGACTTTGTCTTCTCTGACCCTTCAAGGACATATATATACATACATTATACATATATAAATATGGACATAGTTACACAAAAAAATCAGAAGAAACAGAAAGTGGTCAGCAACACACAGTACAATAAAGAAGAAAACAAGAAGTTAATAAACAAGTATTCAAATATGCAAACAGGCATACTGTGGTAAATTAAAAGTAGCCGTTAGTCAGATCAGTAGTCTGTAATGTCAGAATATAGGAGAAGAAAGTTGTGGTTAACAAAAAGGAATCGACAGTTTTGACTTGTGATTTATCTTTTTACATTAGGTGTTAAGAAAAAATTTAAAACTTGTTTCAGCCTTAAATGCGAGAATTAACATGTTTTTCTCTAATTATATAATTTAAAATTGAATACCTTTTCTTTGGATTTTGTACTGTAACCAAAAAACAACGAATTTGAGGAGAATTTCTCCTCAGGCTCTGGGAAAGAGTGATGGTCAACTTTAACTGACATTTTAGACTGCCGATAATCTAACTAATCGATTAATTAAAATAATCTGACAAGTGAATTGATTATCAATATATGATGATGGTGTCAGTGCCTCTATTATAATTCCACGCTGTCTGTTTGTCTCTAGTATATGGGAAGCCGGTTCTCCCTCCCAGCTCAACACCCCCCTCGCCCCTTCCTTTCGTCCAGGCGGGAGGGGCCTTCCCATTACTCCAAGGCCAACCCAGTGGTGAAGACACTTTTGAGGGAGAATTTGATGAGTTCTTCCAGGCCCCAGAGCCCTCAGCGCCTCCTCCCAGTGTGGAAAACATCCCACGACCACTCAGCCCCACTAAGCTAACACCCATGGTGCACTCCCCGCTGCGTTACCAAAGTGACGCCGATCTTGAGGTGCTCCGTAAAAAGCTGGCCAACGCTCCGAGGCCGCTTAAGAAGCGCAGCTCCATCACAGAACCAGAGGGCCCCAGTGGACCCAACATCCAGAAACTGCTCTATCAGAGGTTCAACACTCTAGCAGGAGGCATAGAGGGAAACGGAGTCAGTGGGACAGGAGTTGGCAGCAGTGCAGGTAATGGAACACCTTTTTATCAGCCAGCTAATCCTCCTGGATATCTGGGAGGCGACTCTGTGGCTGATACAGACAATGGCAACCTCCCATCTGAGACGCCGCTACCGCCACCACCGGGGGCAGAGGAGCCGGGCTCTGAGGCTCTAGCTCCATCTACTGACGCTAATGACAACGAGCCGCTGCCCTTGCCGCCAGAAGGCCTGGGGGATCCTGCTGAAGCAGAGGGGCCAGAGGAGGACGATGACAACAACAACAACGTGGGAAGCTCTGAGGCGTCACTGCCCAGCCCTGTCCCGGAGGTCACCACTCAAGAAGAAAGCGGCACGGCAGTATCGCAGCCGCTGGTGAGAGATGCATACACACAGACTTGTTATTACATTTAGTTAAATTTTCAAAGTTTTAAATTCCTCTCTTTATCGTGACAGGAGAAGCGCACAAACCTGAAGAAGCCGAACTCTGAGCGCACAGGCCACGGCTTCAGGGTGAAGTTTAACCCTCTGGCCCTCCTGCTGGATGCCTCACTGGAGGGAGAGTTTGACCTTGTCCAGAGGATCATCTATGAGGTATGTCGCGACTGTGTGAGTATACTTTACTTATTTATTTAAATTTGCATGTACGCTAAGCACTCATCTTTTCATCTGGGGCCTTCTTTTTTTCCAGGTGGAGAATCCTAGCACCCCTAATGATGAGGGCATCACACCCCTGCACAATGCAGTGTGCGCAGGACATCACCACATAGTCAAGTTCCTTCTGGATTTTGGTGTGAACGTCAACGCTGCAGACAGTGATGGATGGTGAGTCCAAGCTCTCCGACACAGGAGAGCTGGACGATGACGCGCTTAGAAATACATTTTGTTCAGTTTGATTTTACTGATTTGCCGTTGTACCCTTTTTTGTTTATCGTGTTTGTTTTCCTGTTTGTGTTTGCTGGGACAGGACTCCGCTTCACTGTGCCGCCTCCTGCAACAGTGTCCATCTCTGCAAGTTGTTGGTTGAGTCGGGGGCTGCCATCTTTGCCAGCACCATTAGTGATGTGGAGACTGCTGCGGACAAATGCGAAGAAATGGAAGAGGGCTACATCCAGTGCTCCCAGTTTCTATACAGTGAGAAGCAATCAGTCTTGTGTAGCGTTCACAAGTGTAACTCTGAAAAGACTAGTTCACTTAAAAATAAAACATTTGTCATTATAGCCCCAATTCAGTCAGTCCAAATGTCATTGAGGTTTGTACAAACACGTAGCAAATCAGACCGGGTGCTTGTACGGCATTTGGTTTTAACAACTTGGGATTACTTTATCTATAAAGATATTGATTTGATCCAATATCATTGTAAGATTAATATTAACAGATTGGACTCTCTCTTGCAGGCGTTCAGGAGAAGCTGGGTGTGATGAACAAGGGGACGGTGTACGCACTGTGGGATTACAAAGCTCAGAATCCGGATGAGCTGGCGTTCAGCGAGGGGGACGCCATCACTGTTCTCCGACGACAGGACGACAGTGAAACGGAGTGGTGGTGGGCGCGACTTGAGGACAACGAGGGCTACGTGCCCCGCAACCTGCTGGGGGTAACAACAAAATACATTATTTGTCACACATGTCTCACCAATATGTTTAACTTAACTTGCCACAAGTAGGACAAATTATTAGTGCTTGGCACTTCTTCTCCGCTGTGTTCTTATATGTTTGTTCAGATTTTCTGTAGAGCTGAAATAAGAGGATTTATTGATCAGTCGATGGACAGGAAACAAATTAACTACTTTTTATGGATGGTTAATTGTTTGCGTAACGCTTTTTCAGGAGTAACTTAGGCTGAAAAGCAGTGTTTCACTTTCTGGTTGAACATTTCAAGACTATTTGACCTCTGAAAGAAGGCATATTCATTGATAATGAAAATAACAGTTAGTTGCAGCCCTAAATGACGGTACGACCTGTTCTAATGATTGACTTTACCCATTTGCTAATCACTGCTTAAATATTAATAATATGGATATATTTTGGTTGGGAAAAGATTGATAATATCAGTAAGTCAGTGAATCTGGTGTGATGTCCAGCTCGAATCATGGGGTTTTAGATAAGGCACTGAAAAGACAAATGCATAACTGTACTAATGATGTCAGTGACAAAGTACATGAAAACAAACATGAGCATGTCAAATTAGTGAACGTTTCCCCTCTTTCTGTTTGTTTTCTCTGCAGCTCTATCCTAGGATCAAGCCTCGTCAGCGCTCCCTAGCGTAGTGTCTCACTCCGTTGACCTCTAACAGCTGGACTTGTGACAAAACCAAGAGCAGAGAACAAAGGAGCCTGGCGCTCCGTCTTCTCCCCTGTGGCCATAACCTCCCCCGGCCTTGTGCTTCTCACAAAATCCTTTCTTTTTTTTTTTCTGAAGCAGTGGGCACCGAACTGTGATACACATATTTATATCTGCACACACGTAGACTCACTCACTCACACACACACAATTAAACACAAGCACTCCAAAATCTCTTAAACCACTCCATCCTGACACCCCCATCACCACCACCTTTGTTCAACCTACTGCTCTGTCATTGTCCCAACTTGATTTTACCCAGATTCAGTGTCTGCTCTGTATCAGACATCAACTAAAGAATAAAACACTAACCCTTGTCTAAGTATTATAATTACAGTGTTCACACTTCATTTTCATCTCCCTAATGAGCTCTATAGTGGCACTGCAGTAAATGGTGACTGGAAAATCATCTCTAAGGGTGAGAAAGTGCTGATTTATGTTAGTGAAATGTAATTTCAGTTCTAAGACATTACTTGGGCTGTTATGCCAATTTGATCTCCTTTCACAAAGAAACACTAACACAGAAAAATGTGCTCTTGTTTGATTTTGCTGTAGTCCAACCACCAAAGATGAAAATAGATTTAACTCTTTTAATTCTGTTACTCCCTAAAACCTTGCAGAATTTTTAAGAAGATCTTTAAGTGAGATAATCTATTGGGTTGCTGCTATCACTAATGATTAACAGCTCCCAGCATTAAAAGTCCTTCTAGATATTGTCATGGTATTAAGTCCTCAGTATTAACTACACAGGCCAGTCAGAACAAATCCGTGTTGAAGCAAAGATGTATATAGATTGACAGCTCATGTCGTCATGAATCGCTTGTCAAGAACATTGTTGCAAGACATTTTTATTCATTCACTGTCATCTGTTCAGAATCTGGATGCAAGGCTAATGTGGACCTGTAGCAACAGCATCAATAACCTGTAACCAAGTACCAAATTTTTTTCTGTAATGTGAGATCTCAAGACGTATCAAGCTCTGTTCAAATGAACATTTTAAATATTTACTCAGAGTTTGTATTTTTGCTAGTCTGATTATCCCTGAAATGAACAGCTTGTTTGCTGCTATATTTTCACGGAAATGGGTAAAGAACAGTGTTTTGCTTTACCGAAAAAGGTTGCCAAATTGAGAAGTGCAACATCTGTAGAGTGTGTATAAATGTTATACATGCAAAAGATCTCTGGAAGAAAGTATTGCAGGAATAAGGAAAATGGTAAATGGTAGTTTTATAGTTTTTAATTTCACAGTGGGGAGGCAGGAAAGAATCCGCTACACAGAGACAAAGATGTCAATTTTGCCATATACTTTAATATTGAATAAGTAATTTACATTCTGTATAGTGATTCTAATTAATCCAGACATTTAGAAAAAGTTGGACCTCTCTTCAGAGAGCCACTTTTTCTGACTTCTAGCACTTGTAATTTAACTTGACAAGACCTGCAAGCAGTATCTCTATGTGAAAAGTAAATTAAAAGTATTGAATCCAGACACTGCACATCACTGAAATCATCAGCCAGACCATCGTGCCCCCAACTTGACAAAGTTAACACTCAATTTTAATAACCTTTTTTTCTACTTGCTTCAAAGTAGGTCTGTGGTCATCTTACCATTGCAGTTGTTTTTCTGTGGCTTTGACAAACCCCACTTGAAACACTTAATCTCAGGACCAACATGGTGCTGCTGACACTGTTCCACCACTAAACTAGTGATCATCGTTCTATTTTCATTCTCAAAAAACATCACCTTTGTTTGAGCAGCAAACAAAACAAAAGAGAAACAGTCCAAATTTACAGTACAGCCATGGGCATAAATTATTAATAGATGAAGAGACCGTTATTGTGGCTGAACTATAAATGAGAAATTCAGACTTTAAATTCGCTTGAGACAATCCTGAATTTGCCCAGGTCTCTTCCTCCAGCTGCCCCCTTTCAGGTACACCATTCCAGTAACACTACCATACATTTGTTATCTGTCACATCATTGAACACCTAGAGTCCATCAACTTGTTCTGAACCTTGAGTGACTGAGTGTTATGCCAAGTGTGCTAGTGGCCCAGGCTTTATCATGATTTAACCTGTACATAGTGTGAGGAGATGTGTAATATGTCTGTTTGCTGTATGGACAAGTGGGCTTTCTGTATAAACGCTGTACTCACACATTCAACTCTGTAAATGTCAACAATAAAACAGAAGCTCTGGCATGACGAATGTCTTTCATTGTCGTATCCGCAAAATAATGCAAACAGTGCAGTGTTAAATTTAATGAAATTTGTAAAAGAATGTTTGCTTCCCCTTTTCTATAATAACATGATCATGAGGCAGGACCATCCATGGTGGATTTAGGATTTACTGATGAGCTGCTGTAATTTGAGAAATTTGAGCTACTAAGGTAGAAGATTTATTTGTGATATTACAAAGGTTGTAAAGTGAAAAAGGGTTTTTTTGGGGGGGGGGGTTATGGCAGCAGTAACTTCCATATCATTTTTCCCAAAAGGCAGCAGGGTGAACCGGCTGTGGCTAGGGTGGGTACTGTCTTTTAATATCCTTTAGGCTCTACGTAGTCACCTCACCGATTTCACTGATCCTCAGGAGATGGGTTCTACTGATCTTCTGAGCAGTTTTTATCACCCGCAGTAAAGCCCTCCTGTCCTGGGCCGTGCACATCCAAAGCCAGTTTGTGATGTTTCCAGTCAGGATGCTTTCTATTGTTCTGTAAAAGCGGACAAGAACTTGGCACAGGAAACTTCACAACAGATTTCTCTCCATGTCAGGGTTTGCAGTCTTAGGTGTACAGCATGAACAGGGGCAACTGGGAATGAGCACCAAATGTTAACAAGGGCGAGTTCAGCGCCGACAAAAGGTTTATTCCAAAGGAAACAGTGGCGCCTTGAACATCCTGCTGTGTACGCAAGCGTACTGCATTTCACTGCCTTTTTAACATCGTTGTGTTTACAAACTTGTCGCAGCTTATTGGGTAACACCTGAGACACGCCCACCAAACAGGAGAAAACATAACTCAAAGCCCGTTGCAGAACGTTGCGCAAGTTTGCAAGAAAACATGTCATTCAATCCGAAAACGTTGCCAACCGGTGCAAAACGTTTTGAGATTGAAGTCACCCCAAATGTTTTCATGTTGCGGTCCCCCAATTACATCGAGCCTCTATGTGGGGGCCATAGACCGTTGGGGCCAAGTATATCCAGTAGTCTAACTATACAGAGGTAAACATATTAAAGGTCCTTAAAAAGTAAAATAAGTATGTCAAAAATTCAAAAAGGAAATAAATACAGTTTTGAGCTCAATGACCTGAATTGAATCTATATAGTATATCATATCACTTTTGAATATAATAAGCTAAGTCAGTAAATGCACATATGAATTTGATATCTGGCAAGTTAAAAAAAACCGATTACGGTTTATAATTTTAAAATTATATTTAATTTGAAAGTATACAAGATGACAGTTAGTATGTTTAACCAATAGGAAATAAGTTAATGTGGCATTCGACCAATCGGATTCAAGGTCTATCCCCGTGTAAACCAGTATAAAAACCCAAGTCTTAGAGGATTGACGAGAAGGCCGCTACTATCTCGGGGAGATATCAAGTATTAACTCATATTTTCTAAAGCAACGGTTATATAACGCTACCTGAAAACCTGAATAAACATGGTGAGTATGTAGTAGTTTTCTCTTGTTTATTTTTGAAAATTGTATTGGTCGTATGTAGTAGCCCACATTACTGTTAACGCTAGATATAAATGTAACTTAAGTTGACGTGACTAAATCGGTGTTAGCGTTAGCGAACGTTAACGGTCAGAGGTTTAGCACCAAGCTAACGTTAGGTAACGTTATCGTTATCTGAAAAGTCTTGGTGGAGGAGGGCAGTGAACAGTTTACTTAACCAAGTTTCATGCCAATCTTAATTGGGTTTTTTTGTACATAAGGTGTAATTTACCTTATTTGGATTGTAATGTTTTCCGATTAAAAGGTAACACCGCAGACCTGAATTAACGTTAGAATTCTCAACTGTCAACGGTTCTCAGTGGTAATGTTAACCCTTAATGTTAGAAAAAATCCGGTCCTCTGTTTTATCAGTATAATGATAATTATACAGGACTTCCTTGTAAAAGAGACTGCATCTCAATGGGACATTTCCTGTTTAAATAAAGATTTATATAAAATTACATTAATTATACTTGTAAGTACAAGGGTAATTCGTTAGTCTGTAACTGTAACTTAACATTACTTTAGTAGTATTGAGATGGACAGAGCACCGGCTGAGCTAACTTTCCCTTGCTCAAATTATCACAACCCACCCTAAACCTAAATGTCTTTATTGAGCCAATTTTGTTATATTTGTTGAAATTCTCTGTACTCCTAACTGCAATCAATAAACCAAATACTTAGACACATGAAAATGAAATAAAATAACTGTATCTACGGCTGTCCGCCACCAATCATTTCATTTGGTTGCCTAGCAACGCTGGAGAACCAGGCGGGAAACTGCTAGATTTTGCAATAACGTCCGGCTGCGGACTCTAGCACCGCTCACGCCACGCCCCCCCCGGTACAGTCTGTAATGACTGGCTGTAGCCGCAGCACCTTTCTGTATGGTCTGTTTTGCACAGGGCATACTTATTCCCGCCCAATTTGCACCACGCATTTGTGGACATTGTAGTTCTGAGTTGACAGCATATATAAAAATATAATAATTAATTTAATATTAACCTCCAATAATACTACATATATATTTTTAAAATTAAACTCCAATCTTGATATGCATGTTTCCACAACAGTGAAAGCTGGATATTAAAGGCTGGCAGTATCAACAGTTAACAGTCCCATTGCATGTTGTCATATTAAGCAGGCACAAATAGAAAAACCAAAGACAATAACACAACCAGCATGACTGGTGCATCTGTTTATTGAGGATGTACACAAATGTTACATATAAAATGAATAAAACAGAATAAAATACCACAATATAATAAAATAAGATTAAAAAAACAACAACAGAACAATAAAAATGTAGGTGAGGATATTAATAGAAACATAAAACTTTGGACTAACATGAGTATTTTTAAAATGATCAAAAACTCAGTTTTAAATGACTTGAGATCAACGATGTTACAGTAAATCTTTGTTTACCAGATGTGGATATAATCTGACACTTTTACCAACACTCCTGATCCTGCCAGTCTGGATAAAATACTGTATTTTTATCAACGATTAAATTTATTATTTCGATTACTAAAAAGCTTCATTTAATCCATATAACTTTATAGCACACTGTTTTGCATGGACATTTATTACTGTCGCACATCGCACTTACGCTGTGTGAACACCATGTGACGAAGAAGACAGTCCAAAGTATGGGATTATTTCCAACTAAAAGAAAACAACAAATCTGTAATGTTACAGTCCATCCACCGTAGAAGAAACTTATGTGGCCTACCGCAACAGCACGACAGCATAATGTTACAGTCTGTCGTGAGTTTGTGTTGTAACGTCACAGTCATGGGTTAACTGGGTGCACCTTAGTATAACTTAAATAGCACTTGAAGTGTTATTTTTGTGTTAGTCTCTTTAAGAGACTATGGTGGGTGGACCTCGGACCCTATATGGGGGTCTGGGGGCATGCCCCCCTGTAGAAAATTTGGACATTTAAAGTTAAATGCATTAATTTGGTGCAAAATTAAGAGGCTATCTATGAATAACTTTGCACTCTTGTAAACAATGTTGTGCTCTAGTAATCTATTTGATCATAAACCCATTGTATAGCTATAAATGGTGATGAAACAGCAACAAACGTCAACAAATGTATTTAATGTTTTTCCAGCAACCCCAAATCAAAGAATAGAATAAGTAATTTCCTAACATTTTATTGTTGTTGTTGTTTTTACTTTTAATGGACACATGTAATATGTTTTATACTTTCTGTGAATATGATATAATCCAATTAATATTAATTCCATACTGTATAGACACCTTATTTTGACATCTGTATCCTCGCGCTAAATTCATCAAGTCTGACCCAGTTTGATAAATTATGTTGTATGCGGTTCTCTGTCGCGTAACATGAAGACTTCACACCCTCTCTTCTGGTTGGACTCTCATACTGCAAGACTTGTCTTTGTAAAAAGAGAAATCGTCTTCTCACAAACGAGTGATAGAAACAGACCATAAAGGTTACTGTAGTTACCTCAAAAGAAAAGTGGTTGTCTGAAGTCGGATGTCAAAGTGTGTGAGCGTGCGACCTTACAGCAGGTCGGAGCAACTCCCACAAAACACAACGTTAGAGGTCTGAAACGTTATTTTGAGGTGTAAAAATATTTGCATTTATTCATTGATGCATCAATGAATCAATGAAATAATCTGTAGAAGCTTCGAGTACTACAATTATCGTTAGCTGCAGCTCTAATTTCCATTTGCCCATTGAGGTTCTGGATTGAGGTCCTTCATGTTTTCTGCAGCCAGGAGTGGAGTGTCTTGCTTTATTTTGTGGGTAAATGAAAATGCTGCATGTATCAGGTGACGTGTGTTTTTTTTAATTTCCATTTAATATTGCCATAGCTCTTAAACTGTCTTCAATATGCGATGAGTAGTCAAGCTAAATGTTAAAAAAAAACTCTTTGTTTCCCCCAGCGTGAGTGTATCTCAGTGCACGTGGGTCAGGCTGGTGTCCAGATTGGCAATGCCTGCTGGGAGCTTTACTGCCTGGAACATGGGATTCAGCCTGATGGACAGATGCCCAGTGACAAGACCATTGGAGGAGGAGATGATTCATTCAACACCTTCTTCAGTGAGACTGGAGCTGGAAAGCACGTCCCCAGAGCTGTTTTTGTGGACCTGGAGCCCACTGTCATTGGTAAACTCTTCAGTGTTTCCCATTAATTAATTATTAAGCTAGCCGCGCCTACATTTGGAGTGCACACGTATTAAAGCCTTTCTGATAAATTCACTGAAACAGACCAGAGTGAGCTGACAGGCAGGTTAGCGACTTTATCCTGTCAGTTTCTCTCTTTACAAAGACAAGTGTTGTTATATGAAAGTCCTACCTGAAGAGAGGCTATGAAGTCTTCATGTTACGCGATATGAGAACCAGATGCAACATTATTATCAAATTGGGTCGGACTCTGGTCGGACTTAATGAATTTAGTCCGAGGATACAAATGTGAGAACACCTGGTTTTCAAAATAAGGTATC